GCACAAGGCTGGTTCAGTGGGTAGAGTATGCAATATGAGTTCAAGCCCCATTTTGGTTATAGAGATTACTTAAAAGTAAAATCTTCAAAAAAAAGTTCTTTAAAATCTAGCTATAAAATCATAGTTAAAGGATATAAGTTTCTTAATGATATATTACTGCCACACTAGAGGGATTTTAAAAAGCTGTCTAGAATGCATAAATAATTGCTTACTTCTTTAGAAGAATTACTTCTTAAAATTATACTCTTGATTTAGGAGAGTAAATATTTTTCAGTTATAACCTGTCTTCTAGTTTTATTTTAACTATGAAACAGAAAAATTAGCCAGAATCTTCTTTTATGTCTACTGTACAACACAGGTAGGTAAATTAAAATGAATTCTACAGAATCAAAAAAGATTCCACTGATGCTTCCTTGGGGAAAAAAAAAACCTAAAAGTATTCAAGGAATAGTAGTGATGAGGGAGCATGGGGCAAGCTGAGGGCAAAATACAGGCTGACCCACCCCGGCCAGGTGGAATATGTGTGATAATACCCGTCTTGGCTGCCCAAGAACAAAGGAAGGTAGTCTAAGTGCTTGCCGTGGTGATGTGGGAAACTAAGGCAAATGAAAAATTTAATTCCATTACTGCCTACAGCCCACTGACAAGTCCTTGAGATCAGCAGAGTGACCTCCCTCTAGGAACTCAGCTGCCTCGATAATGACACTTTGTTGGGGGCAAAAGAGAACCTTAGTTTAACGTTACCCCAACCTCGAGGATCCTGTAAGTCAACTTCCTTTATCTCAACTGCCCTAAGATACATGCTGACAATCATACTCCAAGCTTATGGCCCCTGATATTGATCTAAAGGATCTCATGGCTGAGGTTTTATTAAATGGTAATGAATGGCATTTCCCTAGCAACAGCTAGCCCCTCAAGGTCCTGGAAACCTTGCTTCCAAAATTCCATAGAGATTTACTCTATCCCTGACCCCCTCCCAACTTGAGGGTGTACAATGAGTTACCCATCACGACCCCAGGGCAGCTCTTCCTGCCCATGGGTCCTCTCCCCAGGATTTAACAAAATCACCTTTTGCACCGGAGATATCTACAAGAATTTTTTCTTGGTCATAGGCTTCGGACACTACAACCCCCCCCCATCACCCCAAAACTTCATCAGTAGATATCCTGATCCTGCATGAGCTAAATTCATATTTTTTTCTTCTAAAGGGCACACACAAAAAACCTCACATGACTCATGTTAATTAATTCAATTTGAAATGCAGCATCATAACTGATTGTGATTCTGAAGGAATGATTTACATTTGCTTAATACGTAATAAGTTCACCAAAGCGGAAACCTTTATTTAACACTATGCTACTCTGAACACAACTGACTTCCAAAGAAAAGAAACAAAAGATGCTTCTCATTCATCTCTGAAAGCTGACTGGGCCTTGCAATAACTCACACAGGATCTGCATCTCAAATCAGGGCCAGAGGTTTAGATTCTATGATATACATCATGCTTGTTAATTTTTTAATACAAAAGCATTTCATCATTGGAAAGATGAAAGAGTCACACAATATTTTATAAGTGTTCTGACATGAATCAGATATATTGGGACAAATAAACATTCCCTGAAAGATAAACTGGGTCTTCTGGGGAGAGGATTAACTCTTTCAATACAACAGAACACCAAAATATGAAAATTTCTCTAGAACACTGGAACCGTGAAAGAAATGTGTTTTGTATACACACAGATACCAAATCAAAAGGTCTACAGAAAAAGTGATATTATCCTGGCAAAGGGCAAAGCATGCTAATTTATACCTAAAATAATTCCACTTCCCCACCAAATCAACATATTAGACAGAATTTCAACTTTTCAAAATTTCTTAACCAAGGAATTTATGTTGTTCAAACTAACCCAAGGCTTCTAAATGAGATAATTTTCAGGCTAGGATGTATCTATAGTCGGTATAGATGTATCTATAGTCGGTAACTCCCTATTAATTACATAAAGGCAGCACAGGTGGAAGATGGAGACTGTGGATGAAAACACCTTGACCCTAAGTGATACTGCAACCTAGATCCATCAGATTCCATCCGTATCCACTCAGAAGGATGAGGGGTACAGCCACGTACTGCCCTAAGAGCTTCAAGAATGAAAGCAAGACTTTTGCAGGAAATGAAAGAAATGCCCAAGGCTCTGGGAAGTGGAATGTCTCAAAGATGGTTCAAACACAAATCTTGGGGCGCCTGGGTGGCTCAGTCAGTTGAGCCCTCTGACTCTTGATTTTGGCTCTAGTCATGATCTCACAGTTGGTGAGTTTGAGCCCCACTTCGGGCTCTGTGCTGATAGCATGGAGCCAGCTTGGGTTTCTCTCTCTCCCTCTCTCTCTCTGCCCCTTTCCCCCACCTCTCTAAACAAACAAACAAACAAATAAATGACTTTTTAAAAAAATAATAGATCAGAAATCTAATGAAATAAAAATGAAAATAGTTAAATAGTGATTATCATTCCTAGCAGACACACACACACGCGCGCACACACACACACTGTTAAGGTTCAGTATTAGTATATCCCAGTGTTGGCAACTTTCTCTTGTTTATCCCAACAATTTTTTCATGTAGACTATTTTCAGTATCACAGGGAACTTTTAAAACATACAGGTTTCCAGACAACCAATCCAAGATCATTAATTTTTACTTTCTTGGGGTAAGTAGTGGGGAGACCCAGGTATGGTTCATTTTCTTAAACTTCCCAAATGGTTCAGCAAACTACTTTCACATTAGCATTTGGGAATCACCACATGAGATCTCTTCCCCTTGAGAATCATTATCTCCAACTGTACTTTTGTTTTTGGATTTCAAAAAATTATTTTATTAAAAAAAGTACAAATCAGGTTTTAGGAAGAAATAAAGTATTTCCAAACACAGAAAATTTGCTAACATGTAAAATTTGTTTAAAAAAAGAAAATGTGTATTTTTATATGCAAAGACTATCTCTCTAGAAGGGTAGGAAGAACTGGCTGACACCATTCATTGCCTTTTAAGAAAGGAATTAGATGAAGGACAGGGACACTTTTCACTAGATATTCTTTTGTATTTGAGCTTTATTAATGTATTACCTACTAAAAATAAATAACACAAAAATTTTAAATGTCATAAAATAGTACATGACAATAAAAAAATAACTATAGAGGACATTTTGGAGACAAGGAGAGCTCTGAATATGGGCTATTTATTGCAGATGGTAGAAAATCAGTGCTGAATTTCCTGAGAAAACTATGTCACGGTTTTGTATAGTTCTCAGAAAATACAATCTGAGTATTTGGGGGTAAAGTATCATGATGATGTAACTTCCAAACAATGCAGGAGTGGGGGGAATAAAATTCTATACAGAGAAAGATTAAAACAAACATGGTATATTTTAATAATATGAGTCCAGGGAAAGGATGTTTGTGTGTTTATTGCACGGTTTTATTTTTTAAAGTTTATTTCTTTGTTTTGAGGGACAGCAAGGAAGAGGCAGAGAGGGAGAGAGAAGGAGCAAGAGCTAGAGAGAGAGAGAATCCCAAGGAGGCTCCACACTGTCGGCGCAGAGCCTGACACCATGCTCAAACTCGTGATGTCATGAGATCATTGTTTGGTTTGGTTTGGTTGTTTTTAATAATAGCTTTGTTATTTAACTCATATACATAATGCTATTTAATACGTATACATATACTTTAAAAAAATTTTTAACATTTATTTATGTTTGATAGACAGAGAAAGAGCACAAGTGGGGGAAAAGCAGAGAGAGAGGGAGACACAGAATCCAAAACAGGCTCCAGGCTCTAAGCTATCAGCACAGAGCCAGATCCCAGGCTTGAACCCACGAATCGTGAGATCATGACCTGATCCAAAGTCAAATGCTTAACCAATTAAGCCACCCAGGTGCCCCAAAATGCACTCTTTTTAAGGTATAGAATTCAATGGTTTTAGTATAATCAGGGTTGTGCAACCATCACTACTACCTAATTTTAGAAGAGTCTCATGACCCCCCTCCCCCAAAAAGAACTCAATATCCATTAGCAGTCACTCCCCATTCTCACCTTCCCCTCTAACCCCTGACAACCATTTTCTGTGTCTATACATTTGTAAGCTACAGTCTGTGTCTATTGACTTAGCCTATCCTGGACATTTCCTATAAGCGGAGTGATATGCTATGTGATCTTTTGTGACTGGTTTCTTTCACACAGCATAATTACTTAAGGTTCATCCAGGCTATAGCATGTGTGGGTACTTCATTCCTTTCTACAGCTGAATAAAAGCACACAATGCTTCTCCAATTCCTTCGGTATTGCTTTTCATGTAGGAAGTGAGCAATACTTCCAGGCTCAATTTTTTTTAAAGTAGCAATTGCCTTCAAAGACAAGTTTTACAGCTGATCAAAGTCTTTAAAAACAAAATGAAATTGGCTACAAATAGCTTATTGACTATCAGAAAATTTCAACTATGCCCTCCTCAAAGTACAGATGCCTATCTCCACTAAGAAAGTTGAAAACAAAAACAAAACCACGTGACAGGCACTGAAAGCAATTATAAAGGAGTTTCCAACACATGTTAAGTAATGGTCACATCAGAGGAATGAGTGGATAACTCACCAAGGTGATTACTTTGAGAGGGACATTTATTTGAATAATGTTTTGTTAAAAAGTCACTATTTTATACACAATTCTCTCAAGTGAGAGAGATTTTATAAGCAGTAAAATCAGTTATAATACATCTTTTAAGGATTACTCCACTCTTGGTCTTTGGCCATTGTTTAGAGAAGTATCCACTCAGCATGGTGTTAATGAAGCCCAAAGAAGGTATACTTGGTGCTTAATTAATACGTATAAAATGTAAAATAACTATTTCTCCACTTCACAGTTGTTTAATGAAAGATTTTCATGAGTGTGGGGGAAAGACCTAGTCTGTGTGGGAGTGAGACGCTGTCACATCTGTCCCTCCCTCCCTCCTCACCTACACTTACCTGGAGCTGTACTTCTTGAGGATGGTGTCCAAGAGGCCAACGAGCTCTTCAGCATTGATGAACTTCTGTGGGCTGAGGGTGTACATCTTCTCATAGAAGTCTGCGATCTCCATCCGGGCCTGAACGAAGAAGCAGAGCTGCTCTGACAGGTGGGAAAGTAGTTCTTCCACATGAGGGGCGGTCCCGCCGAGCGCCCCTCGGCCAGTCACCACCTTCTTCAGCTCGTTGTGCAGGGAAGTGTAGATGGTGCGGATGGAATCCTTCCTGCTGAAGAAGGACTGGCCCCCTGGTAGGCAAATAACATTAGCATATGACAAGTAAGGAAGAGAAACCAGGACAAAACCTCTCCCAGCACCCAAAAGGAAAGGAGTGGAGCCTACTGAGCTCAGTGAGTTATCATCATCCGCCATATTCTCTGACTCGTAAGTCTGGAATTTAAATATTTTGTGACTCATAATTTCACTGGGGAATAAGAAGGGAATGCCTGGTACAACTCATTAGTGTAGCAGTGCACCTATGGATGATTTCCTTACCCATGCACCAATTCTCCCCCACCCCAATTCAATGAGGATTCACTCATTATTTCAGAGGATAATTAACCTAGTAAGTGACATCAATGTGGATCTAAATAGCCCTCCTTCCACATAAATATATTTAAAACAAAAAAGAATACCTGATCGGAAAACACTGTTGTTATTCCTGATAAATTAGAAATTTTTATTTCTCCATTAGAGTTGCATTTTCCTTTGAATCTTGCCTTTTAAGGCATACCAGAAAATGGAAAATATACATATGTGAATCTCCCTTAAACAAGAACACAGACTACTGGGGTTCCAGAGGAAAAGAAGTCTTTAGTCCTTTTTTTAAAGTAATCTCTATGCCCAACATGGGGCTTGAACTCATGACCCTGAGATCAAGAGCCAGCCAGGCGCCCTAAAATCTTTGGTACTCTTGACAAGTTTGACACTATAGGTTATAACAAAATAAGCACTACACTGAATTATTAAGAGCAGGAAGAAATTACAAACAACTGCTGGTGTAACTCAGGGGTTCCAAAGCAAATCAGAAAGAAAAAAACCCAAATACATCCTTTTCAACAGTTAAAAAGAATCAAGTGGCATAGACATCATTTCCTTACTTTTGTATTAATACATGATGAGCTCTATTTCTAATAATTATAGAGCCAGCTTCAGCTTCATAGATGTTTTCTTAGGCAATTCTGCACCCCACTAAAGGGTCACAGGCAAGAAATTAGGAACGTGAAAAGAAATAGGGCAAGTTTAAAACACTAATTCTCAGGAATATATAAAAACCTCAGAGATGGGTGACAGTTTAAGTTTTCTATTGATATACACAGAATGCTTTAATGAATAAATTTATCACTATTCTAAACATATCAATTAGGAGTGAAAATTATTTATCAAGGGATTTGTAAAATATCCCCTTAATAATTGAAACATCTCACAATGCTGTTTTTAATTTAGGGCCCCGTTTATGTTTCAAGAAATGAATCTTACATCCCTTCCTACTACTATGACCACCTTGCCCCACTTTACCCATGACTTTCCAGGTGTGGGCAGACTGAATGTCTGGCTTCTCGGAAAACCCTTAGTCCCACGTCCTGGGCACACCCAGACGGTTGGTCATCTTACCTACTACTTATTTCATAAACTACTAATACTTAAAAAATGTTTTCTTCAATATACTACCTAAACAAGCTGACTAGCATTCAAATCATCCCTCCTCCTAATAATAGCAAAAACCATGTGGTACAGGAGGACTGACCCCAGCACTAACATCCCACACAGGACTGTACACTGAAGGGTTTGCCTTCCTTCCCTGCCTGTATTCAGTCTAACGTGGCAGATTTTGTAAAGCTACAGTATGGAATAAATAGATCTCTGTGCTCAAGTTCCAGAAAAAACTCTCTTAGGTGAAGAAGGCAATAAAGAGTACCACACAAAATCCTTGGGCTGGCTCAAGTGTGTGACTCTGGATCTCAGGGTTGTTGAATGAATCCAAGCCCCATGTGGGGTGTACAGGTTACTTAAAAATAAAATCTTAAAAAGAAAACTAAAAGCTCTGGAACTCCAACTTAGTTCCAAATTTCAGCTTCTGAATTTATAAGCTGTGTGATGTGAAAATGATTTAGCCACTTTGAGTCTTCATTGTTGTTTTTAACAGACAACTAGTAACAGAGCTGCTAAGAAGGCAAAATGAAATAACATTTGGTATGCGATGTGCCTGGAGCCAAGTGCATATTTCACAACACGAATATTCCCTTCCATTCATACCTGCTATAAGAAAACTCCAAACACTATCTAAGTGAGCCTGTAGAGCTCTATGGTAAATTGGGAGTTTCACATACTGTATAAAAGAATAGCTATCTATTTGAAAGATAGCCAGGTGACTTCAACTGTGTAGTCGCCTCCGCTGTTAAACAATATGGCCTTGGTGAAAATTTTAACTTGGCGAAAAATAAAGATTTTCATCAGATTACCCTTATTCTGATTATCTGATCCCTCAGATTACCTGCGGGAGTGGAAACACCACATAAATACAAAAATACCGTGAAATGCGTATCAATAAACATCGATCACTAGTATGTGAAACCAAGGGAAGGGACACTATAAGGAAGGGAGAGACCACCAATGCATTTCTTTTAAACGAGTCTCTGTTCAGCAAGCTGTCAGGAGCACAGTCGTATTGCTGACTATCCTGGTCAGGAACATCCAGTAGGGACGGGCCTGCCTTCATCCTGGGAAACAAGGCATCAGAGACACCAGACAGCTTCCTCTTTTCAATTTTTTGAGTTTACAAAATATAGTTATTTTGAATTATTTCTAGAAGGCTGTATGTATCGAATCCTCATTATTTCTCAAGATTTCTATGGCCCATCTCACATGACAAAATGTCATTACAATTATATTAAAGGAGTATGTGAAACATCTAATTGAGTATTTTATTCCACAGCTTCTTGTTAATGATCATTTGTAAGCATCAGTTCTCAAGGCATTTTCTACCATGCTAAATTCTAACAGCCAGAGGTTGAGGCAACTCTCCAGTAATGAAAAAAAGGGAGAAATGTATGACCTAAAATCCTCCAAAGGCATTGAGATGGCAGATTTTAAGCCATCTCCAAACAGGTATATTCTCCCCTCAAAGGAAAAGAAGGCTCCAAGATAAGGGCTCCACCCCAAAATTTGCAGAACTGAGCCAGTAGAGGAACAGAAGGCTCCCTGTGAGGCCTGTCCTTTGCCAGCAGTGTTTGCTGGCATGTGCCATCTATAAACAGGATTCACTGCTAAAGTCTCTGATAAACACTGGTCTTGAGAGTGAGGTCGGAAAGACTCACTTTTTTGAACCATGTTTGAAATGTTTGAAAATACACATAAAACTTCTTTGTTTTGCATTTTAAAGAAAACCATACAAACATTCTAATTAGCAAAGGATTTGAAGAACGTGGGCATGTCTTAAGTGGCAACACAAAAATTTTTCCCCAAAGTTTTAAGAAATGGAGTTAACCTAATAATCACAAAATCATATTGTAAGCATGTTGATACCACAAACATTTCAGTATCAAAAAACAGTAAGATGTCTGCTGCAAAGTTAAAATTTTACATTTGTAACCTACATTTACTATATTATACTATGGGAGATAAGTTATGAGGCATTGAAGTCAAACATGCCATATTCAGACATTTACTCAGAAGTGACAGATCACCTGGGAGCCTGAACTATGCCTGGGCATGTTCCATAGTGTAAATTGCTCCTGGGTCAATTTCAAGGTGCAGCCTTCAGGTTCATCCATGCAAGCTGGGGGTCCATGCACAACTAGTCACTTTACATAATAAGGGCCATTTCACAGAACCAAGTCAGAGACAGTGATGGTCTCACACATGCTCTTACACACAGGGCAGCTAGTTCTGTTTACCAAAAACCAACCAGACACATACAACTTAAACTAGAATAGCAGGTTTTAAGCTGGGGTCCATAAATAGGCTTTAGGAAATCCACTGAACCCTCCCAGATTAAATGCAAAATTGTATTACACATATATGTTCCATATGAAAGTCCATGGGTTTCATCAAATTCTCATAGATGAGCTTTACAAAGTTAAGAATCATGGCACTGGGGTCAATCATCATTCTTCATGAAGTGAAGGAATCTAGAAACAATGAAAACTGCCAGAAAATTAACCACTTTCAATTTTACAGCCAGAATTCTCTGCATTCTCAACTATAAATATAGTTGACCCTTAAACAGAGCTGGGGGTGATGGAGGAAGGTGTTGGGGTGCTGACTTCCTCCAACAGAGTGAAAAATCCAAGTATAACTTTTGACTCCCCAAAACTTAATTACTAATCACTTATTGTTGACTGGAGACCTTGATGGTAACATAAACAGTAGATTAACACATATTTTGTATGTTATATGTATTATGTACTGTATTCTTATAGTCAACTAGAGAAGAGAAAATGTTAAGAAAATCATAAAGGATGAGACAATACATTTACTGTACTATATTTATGGCAAAAAATCTGTGTATTAGTGGACCCAGGCAGTTCAAGCCTCTAATGCTCAAGGGTCAACTGTATATACAAAGTAGATTTAAAGTATAATACATATGCCAATTTCTTATCAATCACATGGATAAAAACACCATCTGACAGTTCAAAAGCAGGTATTCTGGTTAGAGATCTGTCAACTACCTACACCTGTGAGCACAGACAACTTGCCAATCTGTAGAAAGGGGAATAAGAACACTGCAACAGCAACTGCAAATTTGTGAGACGTGCCATTGTAAAAGGGGGTCGAAGAAATACACAAGGTGAATCTATCTGACCAGTTTTGGCCAATAAGTCAATATACTAAATAACAAGTCATTATCTGAACGGCTAAGGCCGAAGTTAAGATCTCATAAAGCCCCACCCCTTGGGTGCTTCCTGAAAGCAATATGTACATGGCCACTTTCAAGCAATGTAAGGAAACTAGGAGTTA